TGAGAACTCAGGACAAGGACACCCCGTTTTTAAAAAGTGTGGTACTGGGGATTAACCCAGAAGCACTCTACTACCGAGCTACACTCCCATGCCTTTTAATTTATTTTTTATTTTGAGACAGGGTCTCACTAAATTGACTACGTTAGCCTTGAACTCAGCCTCCCGAGTTGCCTGGATTACGGGTGTGTGCTACCATGACAGGTTTTAGGGCACACAACCCACAACCTTTTTTTTTTGGTACCAGAGATTGAACCCAGGGGCACTTAGCCACCGAGCCACATCCCCAGCCCTATTTTGAATTTTATTTAGAGGCAGGGTCTCATTGAGTTGCTTAGTGCCTCACTGTTGCTGAGGCTGACTTTGAACTTGTGATCCTAACTGTCTCAGCCTCCCAAGCTGCTGAGATTACAGGCATGCACTACTGTACCTGGCTTAGTTTTTTAAATTTTGAGACAGAGTTTCACTAAATTCCTTAGAACCTCGCTAAGTTGCTGAGGCTAGATTTGAACCAGTGATCCTCCTGCCTCAGCCTCCAGAATTGCAGGGATTAAGGGCATGCACCACTGCAAAGCAGGGCATGCAGCCTTTATGTTGGGGAAATGAAGCCTCAGAGAGGCTCTTGACTGGGATTTACACAGGGTCTCACAGCCAGTAAGTGACAGCCTTGAGCCAAGTGCCAGGAATTCTTTCCCAGAGTCTTTGGAGATGGGGATAGACCAGAGAAGGTGGCGAGGCCGAGTTGGTATACATAAACTCTGCCTATAACTTCATCACGATCGGGCCCTCTGTGCAAGAGACGGTAAGGAAGATCCCTGATGGGACATTAGAGCAAGTGAGTCACACCGTGAACAAGTAACAGGGTGAGGTGAGGTGGGCTGGGAGGAGGGGGACCCACTCACTCATAGAACCCAGATGAGTGCTGGGCAGCTCACAGAGTTACCTAGTTTCACCCACGCTGTACGCTGGGTGTTGCCACCGCCCGTTCCATCATGAGGAAAGGGAACCAGAAGCCAAGGAGTTGGCCCCAGCTCTTACCAGGACGCCTCAGAGCCCACATCTGACTCTCAGTTTTACCACTGCCACCCCTGCTCCTAACATTGCCCCTTAGGCACTTCCCCCAAATGCAATACTGGTTTCTCCCAGGGGCTCTGGCAGAGTATCTGTCCCCAACTCAGGACAGCAGGGTTTTTGTCTGAGGCAGTAGACCCCATGCTCAGCAGTTCTCTCCTACACCCAGGCCCCTACTTTCAGCCACCAACACAAAGCACTTGAGCCCCTATTTACTTGATGTTTTTCTTTAAGTCATTTCACTTTGGGGGGGTATAAGTGCATTTTAAAGGACTATTTCATATGACTAGGGTAAACAGAACTCTGTACTAGTTGCCATAAACAGAAACAAATCAGAAATCAACAGCATGCAAAGCCAACAACGTCATTCAAAGCTAGCTAGACATTTTCTCTTTGTTAGAAAGGGACGTGGTTGGCACATCCTTGTTCAGAGCAGCAGTAGCCAAAAGGTGGAAACAGCCCAAGTGGCCCTCTGCAGACGCGTCCGTCGGATGAAGGAACATGGCATATTCGTACAGTGGAATATTAAAAGAGTCAACGTTCTGGTGTGCTCACCATGGGTGAAACTTGAGGCCATTGTGCCTGGTGACATAGCCAGTCACCAAAGGACAAATACTGTACGATTCCACTCGAGGGAGGTACCTAGAATAACCAAATTCATAGACAGGAAGTAGAATGGCGGTCTCCATGGGGTTGGGTGAATGGGGAGTTTTTGTTCAATGGGGACAGAGTTTCAGTTTGGGAAGATGGAAAGTTCTGGTGACAGCCACACATCAGTGTGACTGCACTTCATGCCACTGAACTCTATACTTGAACACGGCTAATGTGGTGAACTTCATGTTATGTATATTTTATCACAATAAAGATATAAAATTAGGTATCTTATTTTTGAGGTCTAATAAAAGACAGAAGAGCATGGGGGGGCATAAATGAGTGTTAGAAAGAGGCTACATACAGCTGGGTGCAGTGGCACACATCTGTAATCCCAGATGCTCGGGAGGCTGAGGCAGGAGGATTGCTAGTTCAAAGCCAGCCAAAGCAACTTAGTGTGGACCTAAGCAACTCAGTGAGACCCTGTTTCTAAATTTTATATCATACACACACACACACACACACACACACACACACACACATATATATATATCCAAAAAATGGCTGGGGATATGGCTCAGTGGTTAAATGCCACTTAGTTCAATCCCCCATACTAAAAAAAAAAAAAAAGAAAGAAAGAGGCTACTACACAGAGGCCCCTGATTGAGAAAGACTTGGAAAATCGAGGACTTGTTCATGGTGTGACTCAGTTGCTCTAATGTCCCACGAGGGACCTCCCTTTCAGTCTTTTGCAGATCACCAGGCTGAGCAGCCCTCCACAGGGAGACTTCATTAGGGATGGCATGTGGCCCTCCATCTTGCCTGGGGGACTGGGCAGGGCACTGGCATGCCTCCCTATGCTTGGCTTCCAGACGGTTTTGTGGGGCAGCAGAGGCAGAGAAGCCTTCTGGGAGGAGGTGGGACTTGAGCTGAACCCCTTGGGTGGAGAGGAGTCTGTCCAGGACTGGGTGTGTGTGTGTCATCTCCCTGGGATGGAGCAGGGAGATGGGCACCGCCAGAACTGGGTGGGAGCAAGTTGGATGGGTTAGACTGAGAAGGCAATAGGGAGCTACTGCTGGCTTTTGAGCAGGAGAGTGTCTAGGAGTGAGTGCCAGCTGGGGGGTGCAGGGCCAGGTAACCGGCACTCCTGGCCGAGTCAGGGCACAGTGAGGCTCTACAGATGCAGCCTAGGACACAGATGGGCTGGCAGGGGGCAGGCCTCTTCCTGGCCCCTGAGAGTAGCTGTTCAGGCTCCCATGTAGTGTGAGAAAGCAGGACACTGGTGATTTAATCCTAGAGGTGCCAGGAGACTTCAGACGGGAAGAGCCTAGAGGTCAAGTTCTGGGTTATGGTCAGAGAAAACCAAAGTACAGTGCCTGGGGGTGTAGCTTAGTGGTAGAGAGCTTATGCTGGGTTCCCTCCTCAGTACCACAACACAACGAAGTACCAAGAAAGGCCAGGGCTGAGCAAGTCACCCAGCAGGGGTGTGGCCACGGAGTCAGGACGCGGTGCACTGGGGTTCTTGCAGTCTTTGCACTGAAGCTGGGGCTGGGGACATGGCTGCCTTCTGAGGAGCGGCTCCTCTCTCCTTCCCTGTAGAGCCACGGGGCCACCATAGAGCCTTCTGTGCTAGGGCTCATGCTAGAGGGCTAAAGAGGGTGGGACAGAGAGGAGGGAGGCCGCGGCGCCTTTCTGGTCTCTCTCTGGCTGCTTCTCCATCTTCCTCTGGGCATGGACCAGCACATTCTGTAGCTATGATTTCCCCAGGGAGTCTGGGTGGGGACCAGGCAAGAGTCAGCACCCTATCTCCCCCTAACTCTGCTGCCAGGGAGCTCTGCTGCCTGGGAGGCCCTTCCCTGAGGGTTCTGCTACTGGGTAACTTAGGGCCAGGTCGCCTTCTCTTTGGGCCTCAGGTTCCCCCTGTGTGTGAATCATAGTGGCCTGTGAAGCACATCCGGTGACTTTGCCAGGCTTGTGGTAGATAAGCCCTGCACGAACCCCCACCCACGGGGGGGTACCGTCATCATCTCCAGAGAAGAAACTGAGGTTTGGAGAGTTGGGGTTCTTTGCCCCAACTCACCCAGCCCGAACGGTGGTACTTGCACCCAGGCAACCAGAGCCAGCCCTGGCCTGAGGTCCCTGCCATTGCCAGTGGCCTGGATTCTCAGGTCAGGCGGGGCTCCCTCTGCCTTTTCTGCAGGTGGAGAAACTGAGGCCCAGGGAAGTAGTATGGCTCCCCCAAGGGCGCAGAGCAGAGGTGCTCTGCACAGCCAGGTGACCCAGACCTCATGCATGCCTGCAGAGGGGCAGCTGCCCCGGAAGTGCTGCGGGGGCCCGGGGCGGGCTTGGCGAGGCCATGGGCCGGGAGGAAGCAGAGGCTGTTACGGGGAAAGAAGAAGTGAGGGGAGCGCTGTGCGGTGTGGGGCGTGGAGAGGTGGGAGAAGGGAGAGGCGAGGGGCGTGGGGTGCGCAGAGAGGCCGCAGCAGCCTCCCGACTTCCCCTTCTTCTGCAGAAGCAGCAGGACGGCAGCGAGGCAGGGCCAAGAGGCCAGGCAGCAGCTTCCAGGTTCGTGCTCTCGGGGACTCTCCTCCCTCACCAGCGGCGCCCTGTCCTTACCCGCTGCTGGATGTGCCTTTGCCAAGGTGGGACTTGGGGACCTCCTAGGAGCAGCCGGGACCCATCCTCTTTCCCTTTTTGGGAGACAACTCCAAGTCTGGGGGAAAGTAGAGACCTGTTTTTAGAAGAAGCCATTTGAAATGAGAGATTAAACACTGGGTCCAAGTCCTCGTGGCCTCTCATGGGCTTGGGGAAGTTACCGGACTTAGCTTCACTGGACCTCGGTTTCCTCATCTGTGAAACGGGTTAGCCTGGTTACCTGAAGTGATGGGGATGAGGAACTGTCTGTCTGGTCCCCAGCATGGGACTGGCACTCCAGGATTGAAAAGATTCCTCTCCAGGCACCCTGGATTGGAGTCTGGGGACATCGTGTCTCGGGGACATGGCCCTGGGGATGGCTGGGTCACAGACCCCCTGCTGGGTTCTGCTTGTGGCCTTCCTTTGCTCATCTATGAAAGGGGCTGATAAGAGCATCTCACAGCGCAGTTTTACAGAGACCACAGTTTTGCTTCTCTTCTGGGTCGGGGAGGCCTAAACGGGGGCTCCAGGTGGTGTTTTGCAGAGGTGGCTGTTTGGCGGAGGCAGGTGGGGCCCTGGGCAGGAGCTTGACTGGTTCTGCAGGCCCTGCTCCTGTGGGGAGAGGCTGGGCTTAGGGACCAGGACCAGGTCTGGGGAGGAAGGCAGGGCTTCCCAAGCCTGGACCTGGGTTAGAGCCTGGTTCCCAGGAGTGCGGATCATAGAAATGGTTGGTTGAGTCAGTCTCTCTCTCTCTCTCTCTCTCTCTCTCTGGGAAATAAGTCTCCTTGATGGTGTCATTTTACAGATGAAAAAATCTGAAGCCCAGGGAGCCAAGATTCCTCTGCCCAGCTTCCCTCGGCTGGGCACTGAGTACAGGAGCTGGTTATCAAGTTCACGTCTTGGGAAGGCTCTGTCCTGTGTCACATGCGTCTCATTTTTCTGTTGGCCTGAATAGCTTTGTATTTGTCCAGACAGCAACTCAGTTGCCCAGCCATCTTGGGGAGGCTGCAGCATGCAGGGGGTAGAGCGGGGACTTGGAATTGGGAGACCTGAGTGGAGTCCCAGCTTGGCCACTGGCCTGCTGCAGAACCCCAGGCCAATGCCTCTCTCCTGGGGTTCAGCTTCCTGGCAGCCTGTTGGAACCGTCTTGGAAGTCAGGGAGAGGGATTTCTACTTCTCCAAGGGCTCCAAGCAGTAAATTTCAGGGGAGGAACCTGGATGGCCCAGGGTGTGGGTGATGTGCATGGCGCCCCTCTGAAGGGATAGGAAGGGCACCTGGAGGTCACATGCAGAAGTGAAGATGGTGGTTTGCCCCTAGGAAAGGGGGCAGAAGCCACGGCTTCTATTTGGGGTGCTTGGGGGAAGGGGTCACTTCTGCTTTGGCCTTGATTTCTCCAGTTGTGCTGTGGGGTCAGGCTCCTCCTCCGTGCCTGCCTAGGAGCAGCATGGAAGGGCCTTGGTACCTGGCCTTAGAGGATCCAGACTCTGGAGGTCAGATCCACTTGCCTGCTGGTCCTCAGTTTTCCAGGGGTTGGCCAGGGGTCGGCCAGGGGTCTTCTATACTATTAGGTCCTCTTCTACTGAGGCCTCTGCTTTCATACCTGAAATATTTCCCATTTGTTCATTCAGTTGTTTCCCCAACCCATGTCTTTTCGTCTTTTCTCTGAGGTTCTGGGAGGGCAAGTGAATCACACAGCCAAACAAAGCCAAAGAGCCAAATAAGTGAGAACCCAGCACTCGACTCCAAAGACTCCATTTCTCTTTTAAAATGAACACATATGAATAAATAGTATTAAGAAAAATGGGTGACCATTTGGGGAAAAAGTAAAATCAAATCTATTTCTCGAATTATCTCCTAAGACCAATGAGACAGGCTGAAGATTCCAATGTGAAAATGAAACTATAAAATTACCAGAAGAAATGCAGGAGAATTCCTTTATAACATTGAAATAGGGAGGGGGTTTCTAGCTAGGACTCAAAGTCCAGAAACCCAAAGAGAAAGTACTGAGCTTGTAATAGACAAGGAGCTGATTTTCCTATTACAAAAGAGTTTCTAGAAATTAAAAGGAAACATATAACCCAATAATCAAATGAACAAATGGGGAACTTGCTCTGTGGGAACCGCTTCAGCCCAGCTGGATTGTTTATAAGAGTAAAGGCTAGAACTGGCACAAATGGCTACAAATAGGGACTATTAAATCAATTCTAGCTTATTTCTACAATGTTACAGTATGTGGTTGAAAAAGTGGAGTCTCTCTAGACACTGTTATGCAAATCTCTCCCAGATGTATTTTCAAGCTTAGAAAGCAAAGTGTGGGGCTGGGGATGTGGCTCAGGGGTGCAGCGCCCCTGGGTTCAATCCCCAGTACTAAAAAAAAAGAAAGAAAGAAAAGTGAAACTGGCTGGCTACAGTAGGGTCTGTAATCCCCGAGGCAGGAGGATCGCAAGTTCAAAGCCAGCCTCAGCAAGAGAGAGGCGCTAAGCAACTCAGTGAGATCCTGTCTCTAAATAAAATACAAAATAGGGCTGGGGATGTGGCTTAGGGATTGAGTGCCCCTGAGTTCAATCCCTGGTACCTGCCCTCCCCCCACACACAAAAAACCAAATGCAGGACAATACATAGGGTGGGCTACTTTTTGTATAAAGTGGGGGAAATTCTGTTTGCTTATATCTGTATGGAGAAACTCTGGAAGAGACACGGAATTCTAAAAGCAGTGGTACCTGTGGGTAGCTGGAAATTGAGAGGGGGCGTCTTCAGGGTGGAGGACTGCTTTGCATTTCAGATTTTTGTATTTGTTTATCAAATATAAAATATTCGAAAGACGTGAATTTCTAAACTGTTCGGAGTAAATGCAATTTGAGAAATGTATAATTACAATTTTGGGGGAGAACATGAGGAACTGTCGACAAGGAAAACAAAGGGGAGATTATGATCTCCTCTCTCAGAAGCGACTCCTGCCTGTTCTTGGATGTTTATCCTGCTTTTGCACATGTAAGAAATAGGATTTTGGGGGGCTGGGGTTGTGGCTCAGTGGTAGAGCACTTGCCTGGCACGTGTGAGGCACTGGGTTCGAATCTCAGCATCATATATAAGCAAATAAATAAGTAAAGATCCCTCAATAGCTAATAAAAATATTTTTAAAAAGAAATAGGATTTTTGGGCCAGGATGGGATTACATTGTTTTGCAACATGCTTTTTGATTTTTAGAAGCAATATGTTACTATTATTTTTTCTATGTTAACAAATAGTCATTTGGAGGATTGAAAAGAATCCTAAGTATTAAACTGTTTTTTTTTTCCTGTTGTGAAGGTTATAAGCAAAGACTCATAGCAAATTTATTTGGAATAGCCCCAAATTGGGAACAAACCCAGCGTCCCTTGAATGGATGCATGGTTAAAACAAACTATGGTACATCCACACGAGATACAGCTCAGCAATATATTTTTAAAAAATACATTTGAAAAAAGCTATTGATATGCACAACTTGGATGGATCTCCAGGGGAATTATCCTGAGCAACAGAAAAAAAGCCAATACAACATCAAAACCAGGAAAGTAACTTTGGTACAATTTGCAGACTTTGTTCAGAGTCTGCTAGTTTTATAGGCACTCATTTATGCATGTGTGTGATGTGGGTGCCTATTTAATTCCATGCAATTTTATCACATGTGTAAATTCCCATAGCAGCCACCACAACGAAGACACAAAACTGTTCTGTCACCACAAGGATCCTTGTGATACCCCTTCATAGACATGCCCGACCTCACCCAGGGCAACCACTAATCCTTTCTCCATCTCTATAATTTTCATTTCAAGCATGCTATGCAAGTCAAATCATATAGTGCGCTCCATCTTGAGATTGGTTTTTTCTTCCTTTTTTTTTGCTCTGGAGAATTCCCTTGAGATCCATCCAAGTTGTATGTACCAATAATTGTTTGTTTGTTTTTTTTTTTTTTTTTTTCAAATTTATTATTATGAGTATTTTGGTACAGGGATTGAACTCAGAGGCACTCGACCACTGAGCCACATCCCCAGCCCTATTTTGTGTTTTATTTAGAGACAGGGTCTCACTGAGTTGCTTAGGGCCTTTGCTTTTGCTGAGACTGGCTTTGAATTCGTGATCCTTTAGTCTCAGCCTCCTGAGATGCTGGGATTACCGGCCTGTGCCACCGTGCCTGGAAAATTTATTATTTTTTATATTGTTGAGTTGTATTTCATGACGTGGATATACCACTTTCCATCCATTGAAGGGCATTGGGGGTCGTTTCCAGTTTGGGGCTGTTATGAATTAAGCTGCTATGAATGTTCATATACTGGTTTTCTTGTGAGCATGGGTTTTTAGCTCTCTGGGATAAAAGCCTAAGAATACATTGCTAGGTTACGTGGTAGGCACACGTTAGGTTTTATAGGAAACTGACAAACTGTTCCAGAGCAGCGGAGCTCTGACTTACTGAACTGTTCCTCCCTTGATGGAAGATACATTGTTTTCAAGTCTTTCTTGTTGTAAACAGTAGTATTCTAGGTATCGTTTTTTAAAAATTTACAAAATGTGTTATATTTTCCACTTCTACTTTTTACATATCCCAGGCACTTTAGAACATCTATAATGTCTAGCTATTTTTTTAAAAAATATTTATTTATTTATGTTTCTTTAGTTTTAGGTGGATACATTAGTTTGTTTTTATGTGGTGCTGAGGATGGAACCCAGTGCCTCATGCATGTTAGGCAAGTGCTCAACCATTGAACTACAGCTATTTTCAGGAAAGTACTTAGCATTTTCAACTACATATATATTAATGAGGAATACAATGTACTCACAAAACAATGGTGATCGTTGTAGGAGAATGTCTTTTACACAAAACCTATCTGGCACAAGAGCTCCTTCTTCTCACCATCAAAGTCTTCTCCACGTCCTCTAACCCACTGGACAAGATTCCTAGAGGCGGTCTAACAAATCCATTTCAAAGTCTCGTCCCAAAGACACTTCTGATTTTTTAAAACAAATGGG